TCTCTCAGCACGGGTCGCTGCCAATAGCCAATGCCACATCAAGGTCACACTGGAAGGTGATGGGCAGGACTGCAGCGGAGGGCAGCTCCACTCCACAGAGGTCTGCAGACTTGTGCCACAGTGGTTTGCAATGAGTGCGGATGCTGCTTTGGGGCCAGGCAAGAGGTCTGTGAAATGCTTACATTTAATAGCACTGTGCTAAAACCCACCATCCCTTTTACAACCTCTGTTTTCCTGTGAAAGAAGTAGCTGTTTTTCTTCTTTCACAGGAACTTTCAACATTCTGAAGAAATTTCTCAGGGTGCGGCTACCTTAAAACAAGGAGATGGCGGGGTTGCAGGGGTGGGATATTCTTCATTTATCCCATTCTATGTTTTGCAGCCTCCTTGGCTATTTGTGTTTCCTGGAAAGCCCTCTAGAGCCTCAACTGTGATTTGTTACCTTGTGGCTTTCCACAGCGGCCACCAGATGAGTGCTAGAAGCTGAATGAGGCATCCTTGGTTTTGACTTCTTGTGGGTTAATGTTCTTGTTAACAAAAACAACAAGAGAAGCAACTGCTGTCAGTGGAAAAAGCCAGAATACATTTGCCAAAAGGGCCTCTTTATATATATATATATTTAAGCCAAAAGCAAAGAACGGCTTTCAGACAATTGACAGTAATATTTTAGGACCTTTTAGGACTAAAAGACGTGTAGTTTTATTCTCTTATTAACTCCACAATGTCCAGTACCCATCTGGAACACAAAAGAATGGCCTAGTACATCATCTTCTAAGCTAGCAAATGTCTGAAGCTACAAAATGTCCACTCAAACCACATACCAATCCTCTATATTTTGCAAAGTGCTCCATAACTCCAACATCCAATGTGGGCCAAACAGACCAAATATACCACTCATTCATGACTAGATGGAAGTGATGTAATATACCTTAAAATGTTAAAAGAAATGTGCAAATCATAGAACAGGATAAAAGTGATAACATTAACAGCATACACTTTGGCACTTAACCTCTTTGCAGTATTGTAAACACTGAAGCCCTGCACACAGAAAGGTTTTTCCCAAAATTCTCAGCCATTTGAATAATTTTTAGATGCAAAAATAAATAAGCTGATACAAAATTCATTACAGTGCTAGTTTATAGTGCATCGTAGTTGAAACTCTGTGTGTGGATTATCATGGATTCAGCCTTTGCCCAAGTGGAATCAATGGGACTCCACACATGCATGTGTGCCCCTAATCTTTTCTAGAGATGCTCAACCCACCATAGCAGATTTGGGGTGCGGTGTACAGGATGCGGCAGTATGAAAGGGGAAATCTGTTTTACCATTAATGGACTGACACCACTGAATCAGACCTATTGTGCATTTATTTATTTATTTGTTTAGAATATTTATATGCCATCCTGTCACGAAGGTCTCAGGATGGCTTACATAAATTGCTGAGAGATGTTATTATGTTAAGTCATGTATAAGTATTATTTATGAATGAATGAATGCATAAATACTCAAAGATTTGGGAAGTAGGCATAAATTAAACTAAAATTAACAGATCAAGATAAAATACAGTCAGGAAATCCCCTAGTTTTTCCAGGCATTTAAAAAAATAAAACCCATTACCCTGCTATCCTTGCAAGGCCTGAGGTTGACACTGAAATAAATCAGGTGTTATACCGCTTATACAACTTCATTGACTCTGGCATTAAATAAAAAAATAGTTCTTAAAGCATGTCCATTTAAGTCTGTTATTCCCACATATGGTCTTTGAATGCAACTTAATTTCACAGGAATTGAGCTAATCAGGGCAGGTGACTAAACACAACCCAGCCTTGTGCAAGAACAATAAAAGGTGGTAGTTGTTTCCTTTTAAAAATGGGAGGAAATGGCCGCTCTAGTCTGAAAAGGCTTTGAGAGCAGGAGAGTGTCTTCTACTATGTACAGGTCTCCATTAAAATCTTTACAGGCACCTAGTTGTGTGGCATAGTGCCAACAGCCCAATAAAGTTAATTAGGCAAATCTGTAAAGGTTTTAATAGCAACCACTGGATGAGATGATTTGTACCACTTGAGAGTGTTCTTTACACCATTTGATGGTTGTAATGCAATCATATTTTCAGCACTGTGCCACTTTTAGCTGAGATCCAAGGAAATAAATGCATGTTGGAACTATTTGGCTTGTATCTGAGAAAGGAAGAAGGTGGGGAATACAAGAATTAGCATCCATGCTATCTTGAAGTTAAATAAACACTAACATTGTCTCCAACCTTGCCCTTTCCGTTAAGAATTCTTATTCATTGTTTTCCCAAAACAAAATGCCAGTTCTTCCACTAACCATTTAATGAGATGCCCACATTAAATACATGATATCCACTGAGTGCAATATCAGAGATGGTTTCTTGCTCACACTAGGTTTGCAAAACTGTCTGTAACATGACAGTAAATAGGGAAAGCCTTGCATACATGTTTCACGTGCACACCAGTGTGCCCCATGCACAAGACGTTTGAACAAACAAGGCTGAAGGGACATTAATGTTGTTGGCCTTCCAAGTTCCCTTTGCCCTGTTAGGCTGCATCCAACAGGGCAGGAGAAGTGGCAAACAAAATCTTTACATCCCCTCTGTTTTGGATAATTATCAGTAAGTGGTCTCTTCTGCATCTAGTAGGATTGTTTTGGAGGGGAGGGGAGGGGAGGGGAGGGGTGGGGGCCAGTAGAGATTCAGGATCAATTTCATTCTGACCTCTCCAGTTTTGTCCCCTACCTACCCACTGAAATGCTTCCTCTTCTCCCTCTCCAAGGTCAATTTTCTAACCTCAAAGAAGCAGCCAACACATTTTTCCCTGTGCTAGCTGCAAGGGTAAGGAGTCTGCAGTTGAATCTCCAGCGTATCTTCCCAAGGTCGGGGTACCATATTCAGCCTTAGAAAGGTTTTTTAATCTATCCTACAGTCCCTGGGAAACTTGCCCAAGAAGCATAGGATCATTCTGTTGGTGTTCTGAACTAATTCAGAAGTGTGCTGGAAAAAAAATAAATCATGTGGCATCCCAAAACTTCTGTCACTCCTAACAATAGTGATCTTCGGTGGTAAACAGTAACACGAAAACCAAGCCACTGAGATTCAAGGGAGAAGTGTCAGTACATTCCTAAAGATATTGAGGTTTATAAAAGTATGCAAAAAAGTGAAAAAAAGAGATAGTGGAGTGAAAAAATTCAACACACCAGAATAGCTCACTAAAAGCAGAATATGCTCAATGGCTACAGAATGCTGAATGTCATTTTGGGGAAAAAATGGAAAAGTGGGAGAAGGGAGGTTGAATGCATGTCAATCCAGGGATGAGCACAGCTGGGTGGATATCTGGCTGGATGAACTCCAAACAGGAGCACTCCTGTAGGGAGCTTAGGGCAGAACGCAGGTCTCATCATGGCAAGTGCTTGTGTTGGAACAATCCTGTGGCTTGTAATATACTTACATTCCTACCTATGGATTTATATTTCTATTAATTGTCTTTTTGCTTCCTTGCAGTGTTCAGTTAATATATTGGTTATAACTGTGTTTTTGCTCCACGTACAAATGTATGTTCTATTGCAGAAGTGCCCAAGTGGACACCTTTGAGATGTGATGCGCTTTAGCTTCCAGCATACTTTAAGGTGCCAGCTGGGGAAAGACTGCTCTATTGCAGGAACAGGGAACATCTGGCCCTCCAGATGTTGTTGGACTGGAACTTCCATGATCCCACACTACTGGTGGTGCTAGAATTGAAGTCTCATAACATATGGATGGCTATCCATTCCATAACCCTCCTCTATTGCAGCTTCCCAATAGAAAAAAATCACAAATCTCAAGTTTATGATTTCACTGTTAATCCAATGTCTGAGTTCATTCTCTTCCACTGAATAAATGATGAATATTAATGATAACTATATTATTTCCTTTTGATAAAACCTGTTTTAAAATCCAATTAACCATTTACTAATGCTCATATGTACACAAACACACACAAAGGGCGAATGACTGACACGTTAAGGTTGCAATCATATATATCTTCCTAGAAGCAAGAACTATTGTATGGCACAGATCTAAATATGTAAATGTGAGGGGTGGATCCTATGTGTCAATAAATCTACATGGTTTCCTAATTGGGGTTCTGACCTTCCAGCTCAAGGTCTGGAGATGAATGACAAGTGTGACAATCTGCCATCAGATTTTAAAAAGAGGCAAGGCAGGCAAGATGTTATATGCTCCCAGTCCTCATTATTGGCTTTGTTGTTGCTACATGCCATCAAGTCATCTCTGACTTGGGGCTACGTTATGAATGAATGAGTCCAAAAGGCCTGTCCTTGACAGCCCTGGGCAGCTTTTGTAAACTCAAGGCTGTGGATTCCTTCATGGAATTGAACCTTCTCATAGTTGGTATTCCTCTTCTTCTGCCCTTCACTTTATCTCACTTTATTGTCTTCACTAGTGAGTCTTGCCTTCACATGATGTACCCCAAATACAACAGGTTCAATTTGTAATTTTTGCTTTCAAGGAACATTTTTGAAATTTTTGCTTTCAAGAAAAATCTGGCCTGATTTGATCTAGTATCCACTTGTTCTCTCAGTCCAGGATATTCACAAAGCTCTCATCTAGCAGCTTGCTTCCAACACCTCAATTTTCCTCCTGTCATGATTCTTTACTGTTCAGTTTTCACACCCATACTCTGTGATCAGGAATGCAATAGCATGAATGATCTTGGTCTTGGTTACAGTGAAACATCTTTACACTTGAACATTTTTCTCCCCCTTCACTACAGTAAATATGTATCTAATCCATTGTTTGGAAATGGAGTAGGCTAATGAGGAATCCTGTTCAGCACACACATTTCCTCAAACAAATGCATAGCAGTCGAAACAAATTATTGAGAGAGTCCTTGCTATTATAGAAGCATGATTTATAAGAATCATGAGGAGAGCGAAGAAGCAGTTTCACTGGAGAGAATAAAACTGATTCAATGTTCTATTTTACAGATGATAATGAATGTGAAAATGCCACACTTCTTTGTGGGGAAAATGCAAACTGCACAAATACAGAAGGAAGTTACTACTGCATGTGTGCACCTGGGTTCAAATCTAGCAATGGCAATTTAACCTTCGTAACCAATGATGGAACTTCTTGCATAGGTAAGATGATAACAAATCTCAGGTAAGTTTTTCTTGCCTCTTTGCCTCTCATTTGATATCGGACACCAAAGACGATGCTGAACTGTGGGGCTTAAATTCCATTACAAACTCTTTTTAAGAGGTAAGATACAAATAAAGAAAAAAATAAGAAAAACAATACCATAGGATATTACACAAATCTAGCATATAGTTTCAACATCTAATGAGTTCACAAAAAAGCAAAACTTTCTATCTCATCTACCCACAGTTAAGTCAATCAGTTCTTAAGACTTGTAAGCAAATGATCCAGTTTATCAAACTAATTGTAAATAACATCATAGCTTTAACATTGAGTTGAAGCTCACTAATAATATTTCTATGAGTTCCATTTCTTGAATATTAATTAAATTGCTTATAATAAGCTTTCCATTTTTATTACATTCCTTGGCATGTTTTCTATTTATATAATTGGTTAGCATACTCATCTAGTTTATTTGTCCAGTCTTGAGCAGTTGGGCAGTCTTCTGCTTTCCACTTTGATGCAATTGTAACTCTAGCTGCTTCTTGCAAACTTGTTGATAGTCATGACATTTCCCACTCAATATTCTGGTTCAGTTGCATTCAATTTCTGAATAATAAATTACTCAGTCCTGATATCCTTACATAAACATGTTTTTGTTAGCCTTGGCAGAACCATATTCAGTTGTCCTGCAAAGAACACTTCCCATTTTAAACACAAAGGATTCAAGATACATTTTGCTTCCTGATGCTTCTTTATCTATCACCCATATTACTTCTGTCTTGATCCAGAAGTAATATGAAGCATGGCAATCCAATCTCAGCTGCCATGGACAATCAAAAGTGGATAACAGACAGAGCGGTGCCATGGGTCACGTTTCTGAGAATCTGAGGCTTTTGGTGGGTGCAATATTCCTTTTGTCACCAGAGTTTTGCACTAGACTATCAAAAGGTGAACAGATATAGGAAAGAATAGGGATTTCTTGGGGGAAGAGTATTTTCGAAAGCCAACTAGCCTTGAAATATCTGAAAGATTGTGGCACAATAAGTTTTATGGACAGCAGCCCAGTATACAGAAAGCTATTTTGAAAGATATTGATTTCCATGATGATGATACCCCTGGAGTAGTTGACTTTTGGCCTAAATGTGCTCCACTTCCTAAGGGTTCCCTTGAGTCTCATTGATTAGGGTTTTTGGGGTTTTCCCTGAAATCAAATATCCTTACCTCTTCTATCTATGTGTCCTGTTTTAGAAACAGTGGTCTCCTTAGGAGAGTTAGTCCTATAAACATACTGCACACACATTTTAGAGCCTGTGGCAGCTGCCTCAGGCTGTCATGAAAAAGCAACAACTTGTTATTTAATTTATTAAATTTTGCATTTTCACTGCTAGCAATGCCTCCAGGACTTTCTGCCTCAGGGGCCAAAATGCTTAACAAGTTTGCAGTACTAGTATGGACCTTAGCTGCCCTCCTTAGATAGCAAAATGTCTTAGGGTCAGCCTTGTACCTAGCTGTAGAGACCTGTGGGGTTAGGACAAATAGCAGAGATAACAGAGGAAATTATGTATAGCATGTAATAATTGGGGTTGCAGAGAAATCTGTGGATGCTTCAGATGCCCATTGGACATACTTTGCTATCCTAACCATGTTTATTCAGAAGTTGTACTGAGTTCAGTGGTATTTACTCCCAGGTAATTGTACGTAGCACTGGGGTCATACTCTCTACTAAATGTGCTCAGAGCTGAAAGCTTCTTTATCCACCCTGGACATAGTCTCAATATTTAGCTCTAGGGATAACTAGTAATTTAAAAAAGCAAATAAACAAAAACATAGTCCTGGTGGTCCATGCAAAAGAAAAAAACCCCAAACCACACATGAACAATGTCTTATTAGCAGTTTTAGTCAGCCTTTATTAAAGATATCCAAGTATGCATTTTAGAACATGAAGAGTTACATTATGCCAGAAACTTGTTGCTGTTGCTGTTAGTCGCGAAGTCGTGTCTGACCCATCACAACCCCATGGACAACATTCCTCCAGGCCTTCCTGTCCTCCACTATTCCCTGGAGTCCACTTAAGCTCATACCAACTGCTTCAGTGAGTCCATCTAGCTACCTCATTCTCTGCTATCCCCTTCTTCTGCCGTCAATTGTTCCCAGCATTCGGCTCTTCTCCACTGAGTCCTTCCTTCTCATTAGGTGGGCAAAGTATTTGAGTTTCATCTTCAGGATCTGGCCTTCTAAAGAGCAGTCAGGGTTGATCTCCTCTAGGACTGACCGGTTTGATCACCTTGCAGTCCAAGGGACTCTCAGGAGTCTCTGCCAGCACCTCAATTCTTCGGCACTCAGCCTTCCTTATGGTCCAACTTTCATAGCCATACAGTGCAACTGGGAAAACCATAGCCTTGACTATACGCACTTTTGTCGGCAGGGTGATGTCTCTGCTTTTTAGTATGCTGTCTAGATTTGCCATAGCTTTCCTCCCAAGGAGCAAGTGTCTTTCAATTTCTTGGCTGCAGTCCCCATCTGCGGTGATCCTGGAGTCCAGGAAAATAAAATCTGTGACTACCTCCATTTCTTCCCCATCTATTTGCAAGGAAGTTTTCTTAATGTTGAATTTCAAGCCAACTTTTGCACTCTTGTCTTTCACCCGCATCAAGAGGCTCTTTAGTTCCTCTTCAGTTTCTGTCATTAGAATGGTATCATCTGCATATCTGAGGTTGTTGATATTTCTCCAACTTGTGATTCATCTAGCCCCTCCTTTCTCATGATGTGCTCTGCATATTAGTTAAATAGATAGGGCGACAGTATACAGCCTTGCCGAACTCCTTTCTCAATTTTGAACAAATCAGTGGTTCCGTGTCCAGTTCTCACTGTTGCTTCTTGACCCGCATATAGGTTTCTCATGAGACAAATAAGATGGTCTGGGTACTTCCATTTCTTTAAGAACTTGCCACAATTTGTTGTGATCCACACAATCAAAGGCTTTAGCATAGTCAATGAAGCAGAAGTAGATGTCTTTCTGGAACTCCCTAGCTTTCTCCATGATCCAGTGTATGTTGGCAATTTGACCTCTAGTTCCTCTGCCTCTTCGAAATCCTGCCTGTAGTTCTGGTAGTTCTCAGTCCACATACTGCTGGAGCCTAGCTTGTAGGATTTTGAGCATGACTTTGCTAACATGTGAAATGAGTGTGATGGTGTGGTAGTTTGAACATTCTTTGGCATTGCCCTTCTTTGGAATTGGAAGGTAAACTGGCATTTTCCAATCCTGTGGCCACTGTTGAGTTTTCCAAATATGCTGGCATATTGAGTGTAGCACTTTTACTGCATCATCTTTTAAGGTTTTGCATAACTCAGCTGGAATGCTGTCACTTCCACTAGCATTGTTGTTGCTCAGACTTCCTAAGGCCCATTTGACTTCACATTCTAGGATGTCTGGCTCGAGGTCAGTGACCACCCAACTTGTACAATGTTGTGAACCTCCATCCATAGTTCTTCAGGCTCTCTGTCTATCAGATCTAATTCCTTAAATCTGTTTGTCACCTCTGCTATATATTCATCAGGGATATGATTTAGGTCATACCTGAGTGATCTAGTGTTTTTCCCTACTTTCTTCAATTTAAGCCTAAATTTTGCAACAAGAAGCTAATCTTCTAGCTTCCTACTTTAGCATTCCAATCCCCGATAATGATAAGGACATCATTTTTTGGTGTTAAGTCTAGAAGGTGTTGTAGGCCTTCATAGAACTGGTCAACTTCAGCCTCTTCAGCACCAGTGGTTGGGGCATAGACTTGGACTACTGTGATGTTGAATGGTTTGCCTTGGATTCGAACTGAAATCTTTCTGTCATTTTGGAGATTGTATCCCAGTACTGCTTTTCCTACTCTTTTATTGACTATGAAGGCAACTCCATTTCTTCTGAGGGATTCTTGCCCACAGTAGTATACCTGATGGTCATCTGAATTAAATTCACCCATTCCTGACCATTTTAGTTCACTGATTCCTAAGATGACAATGTTCAGTCTTGTCATCTCTTGTTTGACCACATGCAGCTTTCCTTGACTCATAGATCTTACATTCCAGGTTCCTATGAAGTATAGATCTTTACAGCATCGGACTCTCCTTTCACCACCAGATACATCCACAACTGAGTGTCCTTTCGGCTTTGGCCCAGTCACTTCGTTCTTTCTGGTGCTACTAGTACTAGCCCTCTGCTCTTCCCCAGTAGAATATTGGACACGTTCCAACCTGAGGGGCTGATCTTCCGGCGTCATATCTTTTTGCCTTTTGGTACTGTCCATGGGGTTTTCATGGCAAAGATGGAGTGGGTTGCCATTTCCTTCTCCAGTGGATCATGTTTTGTCAGAGCTCTCTGCTATGACCTGTCCGTCTTGGATGGCCCTGCATGGCATAGCTCATAACTTCATTGAGCTACACAAGCCCCCTTGCCACGATAAGGCAGTGATCCATGAAGGGGGCCAGAAACTTAATATTGCAATATTTTAGCATTTCAATAAGTTGGAACCAATAATAGTTTTCAAAAGTGTTTCTGTGGGATGGGAGGCTTCTGATAGTTGGAGATTTGATCAGTAGAAACATAAACTGCTGGATCTGTGATGGGCATGTGTATTGCATGATGAAATGCCTGCCTAATGCAAAGACGGCAGATCTCACATGCTGTCTAGATAGCCTTTTAGATAGTGTGGCAGAGGAGTCAGTGGTCATGGTCCATGGTGTTATGAGATCCTGGAAGACAAATTTAGGTTACTAGGTAGAAGTAAGTAGTCTGGAAAAGAAAGGATGGGCTCCATTTGAACCAGAATGAAAGCAGACTGCTGGCAGGTAAAATAAAAACAGTGGAAGAGAAGCTTTTAAATGAACCCTGGAGAAAAACTGAGAGGAGCTGGGAAGCATCCAGTTCAAATCATCTGTAATGGATGAGGGGAGGAAGTTTTGGTTGCCCAAGTGTAGGAGGGGGGCAAATAGACAATGAGGTTATGGTGAG